TGTCCTAGGGCTACCCCGGGGCTGTCCCGGGGCTGTCCCGGGTCTGACCCGGGGCTGTACTGAGTTCGAAATGAAGGACCTTGGGGCTGCCAGAAGAATTCTAGGGATGGACATCTATAGAGATAGGAGTAAGAACCTTCTTACTTTATCCCAAGAGGAATATCTTTCAAAAGTTACAGATACCTTTGGCATAAAGGAAGCTTCCTAGGGCTACCCCGGGGCTGTCCCGGGGCTGTCCCGGGTCTGACCCGGGGCTGTACTGAGTTCGAAATGAAGGACCTTGGGGCTGCCAGAAGAATTCTAGGGATGGACATCTATAGAGATAGGAGTAAGAACCTTCTTACTTTATCCCAAGAGGAATATCTTTCAAAAGTTACAGATACCTTTGGCATAAAGGAAGCTTAAGAGCACAAATACTCCTATTGGTGCTCATTTCAAGTTAAGTTCTGTGAAGGATCATGATGCAGATTTGGAAGCCAGAGCAATGAGATATGTACCTTACTCCAGTGGTGTAGGAAGCTTGATGTATGCTATGGTGAGCACTCGACCAGATATTGCATATAGAGTAGGTCTGGTGAGCAGATTTATGAGCAAACCAGGTAGACGACATTGGCAGGCAGTAAAATGGCTGCTCAAGTATCTCAAGGGGACTAAAACTTTGAGATTGGTTGACACAGGGAACAGCAACACAAACTGTGATGTAATTGGGTACTGCAATTTAGACTATGCTGGAGACTTAGACAAGAGAAGATCATTAACAGGTTTTGTTTTCACGCTTGGAGGAAACACAATCAGTTGGAAGTCAAGTCTTCAACACGTGATAGCTCTGTCTACAACCGAGACTGAATATATGGCCTTGAAAGAAGCTATAAAGGAAGGTCTTTGGTTGAAAGGTTTTACCAGTGAGCTTGGTTTTGTCCAGAAAATAGTGAATGTTCACTGTGATTCTCAAAGTGCTATACACTTAACCAAAAACAGTGTATTTCATGAGAGGACAAAACACATTGACGTTAGGCTACATTTCATCAGAGACATAATTGCAAGAGGGCTAATTGAAGTTGTGAAGATATCTACTGAAGTCAACCCTGCAGATATGCTCACGAAGGTAATTCCTGTTAGCAAGTTCAAGGAAGCATTGAACTTGCTCAAGTTGCTTGTTATGTAGCTCACTGGAAAATTAGGGATCTCAAGTCCTATTCATGAAGGTGTTAAATCTAGAGCCAAGGTGGAGATTTGTTGATTTGGTGTCTCCAATTTAACAAATGCTGAAGGAATGGCGTGTGATTAAGTCAACAGCTGGATGTGGAAGGCTGCAGACTCTCACAGCTAGCAAATTAATTAGTACACGTGTCATTCATCTATTTGGCCTAGTTTGGTATAAATAAGGGATTGGTGATATGTTGTAGATACTCTGGTTTTCGGAATAGAAAACTTCTCTGTACACGTGAGATTTCTGAGAGAGAGAGATTCAAGTTGGGTGAATTTTTGGGTTTGTAATCTGTTTGGGTGTGTGATTGTTTCCTAAGAAATGTGAGAGAATATGAGTGTGTAATCCATGTTTATTAGTGGATTGGACTAGGGAAGAAATCCCTGACATGGATTAGGATTATTTAGAATCCGAACCAACTATAATTTATGGAGTCTTTGATCTAATTTCTATTCTTAACTTCTCTTCTGGAAATCTATCTTCTTTCTTCATTTCTTGAGGACTAATTTCCTCACAAATCAGCCCCGGAACAACCCCGGGGCAGCCCCGGTACAGCCCTATTACAGCCCCGTTGCAGCCCCGGTATAGCCCCAGACAGCCCCGGTACAGCCCCGGGACTCTCCCGGGATAGCCCCGGGTCAGCCCCGAGACAACCCCGGGGCGGCCCCGGTACAGCCCCTAGACAGCCCCGATACATCCCCGGGATAGCCCTGGTACAGCCCCGGGACAGCCCCTGGACAACCCCGGTACAGCCTCG